ACCTCTAGAGTATTTTGCTCATTCTTCATTCAGGGGAATCTGCCTTACGAATGAACAGTAGAATTTAATCAATATGACGATTTCAAGTTTAATTTGCTTACCTATGAAATAAAGAGTTTATGTGTTTGATTTTGACTTTGAAAACACATGATATCCAGCAATGGGCCAGCAAGGCGATTATAGGCTAAACCTTGTCCTTATAGGAGCCCGTGCCCACCAGTGGGACGTATAATGTGTTGACGATGATGATGATATTGAGAGGCAGTTGGCGCTGTAGCGTCAATTACGTTTGTAATAAATAAATAACGCACACATTTATAGCCCCGCACAAGGGAAACCCTTTGTGTCATGGACACAAACATAGATAACCATAAATTACTCACAAACTCACGAGATAAATAAATGTAGGCCATACAAATATTTCTCCCGGCCCGGGAATCGAACGCGGGACCTTTGCGTGGCAGACCAGCGTTGTAAACGTTCGGCCAAGGAAAATTTATGTAGAAAAGCTGAACACGCAGCCTGGTGCCGCTGGATTGATTAGGCGGATTCAGATTCAAAACCTAAATTAATGCCAGTCACGATACAACGCAGTGACTGTTTTAAAACAAAATCTGAAGATTGTCTTTAATTTTTCAGATTACGTAATGAAGTGAATTCTTAAAATTTGCCTTAACAATCAGTCTTTCAAACTTTTTTATCAAAATATTGTAAACATTCACAATATTTTGATAAAAAAGTTGAAAGTATATTTTACAATAATAATTATACATATATTCTAATTGGTTAAAGTCGAGAATAAAAGTTGAATGTTTTATTGTTCCCGAAAAAAACTATACCTGTATCTTGGACCTTATGTATAGAACTTTTCTATCAGTCGAAATTATATATGTATCAGTCATGTAACCTATGCTTTGTTTTTTCATTTTGCTCAATAAGGTAAAATTAAGAAGAATGAAATTTCAAAAATATATTTTTTTTAAACCTGTAACGAAAATCCTACCCTACGAATATATTAAAATATATAATGTTTCATTTCCTATTTGACTCCTAATAATGTTGATTTTAGTTCCTACCGTGTGTCAATACATACATCAGTGAAATGACGTATTAACCCACAGTTTTAAATATAATGTTATATGACTGAATATAAAAACCTTTGAAAGGTTGTAGACAAGAGTTAGTCTTTCATAATGGATCCAGATGATTCTGGCTCAGTTGCAAACTCGATGTCTTGAAGCTGAAGTGTCAATACACTTGCATATTTCGTTGATGACGTCTATGCCTATTATACTAGCAGAGTCAAGGCCACAACGAGTTTCACTTGAAGCCTTTGCAAGTTTCGAGTGATGTTAATTGGGTCGACAGGCAACGAACACAGAAAATGGAGAATTATTTACAAGGTGCCGCTTATCAACTGGCGTATTGCCTAAACCGAATCAAATTAAACGAATGTCTTAAATAAATTTTTCCTCATACCGACATTTACAATAAATTAATAAAAAGTAAAAGAAAAATTTTAACTCAAAACATTTGGATTTCAAAATATTTACTTATTATAGAGTGCTTAGGTTGTCGCAGTTGCTACAAATTGGAAATGCAACTATTTTTTTGAATCTAAATGGCGTCTCTATTTTTTTCAAACCAACCAAAGTTTCGGGTTCTTTACAGGTTCCATGACAGTCAGTCTCGACCATGGGACTATGGGAAAAATATGGTTTCAATTCAGTTTATAGATTTTAGAGCTTATTATTATTCTTATTACGGTGACAAGATGACAGATGGAGTAAGGCGATAATTGAGTGGCGTCCAAAGATCCAGGATACAGGAACGTTGGGCGTCCAGAGACGAGATCGGCGGATGACATCGCAGGATTTGGGGGGCGAACCCGGGTGAGATTGGCACGGGATCGAGGGAAGTGGTACAGAAACTTGGAGGCCTGATTATGATGTTTATTTTTTTACTCAACTCTGGATTTAAAAGAACAGAGCTCCGTCCAAGAAATTACATGGGAAGCCTATGTACATACTATACAGAAATATAATATTTAACATGCAAATATTTCAATACATAATCAATTGTTATTAGGTGAATATTTATAGCCTATTCTGTTGCTCGATGTTGTTTGTTCAAAACGTACCTATATAGTTCAAAACAATAATAACCTAAGCTTTATACAGGTAGATTTAACATAAAACATCGCTTCGTAATTTTTCGTAAGCATGAATTTTCTTTTCGGGTTGAACCATAAATAAATTACCCTCGTCATATTGTTTAGTAAATGATATCCCTTTCGTAAAGACGCTTAAATGACGTCCCCGAGATAAACGACAAAGGTTTTATGTACGTACGTTGGTAACAATGAACCGCAAAGCACATAGACGCACGGATAAAACATACCTTCATCCAGGGTGCGAGGGATGCGAGGACTGTAAAGCATCACTTGATATTTTATCTCACAAGCATAAGTTTAACAACAATGATGCTACATTAGCAAGATAAATATCTTTTGAGATAATGAATCAGTTCTTCGCATGTCCACATTGAAGATATATAATTCAGGACCTCATCCCATGTCAATAAAAATATATAATAAACTCTCAGGTATTTTAAAATCAGAATAAAACGAAACGAAAATATAACTGCAACACACTCATAGCCCCGCATTAGGGAAACCCTGTGTCGCGGGTGCCATGGAACACACACATAGATTACCACAAATTACACCCAAACTCCCGAGAGAAATAAATGTAGGTCATACACATATTTCTCTCGGCTTGGGAATCGAACACAAGACCTCTGCGTGGCATGTTAACCGTTCGGCCACGGAGGCAGTTAAATGTGGACGAGTATTTCCAAGATAAATAATTAATATCACTCTCCCTTTCCATGATGTCTGTCAATGTGCATGTGTTTGTTAGTATATAAGTATATTCATAAGTATATTTTTGTAACGACAACACATGAAAGCACTTTAAAAAAAGTCTTGGCCATCTATTGTTTTACCTGTAGTGAATTTTATAATACACGAGGCTCACTGGTCTTCGTATATATCGCTTTCAGTTGGAATTTACCAAATTTATTTTAGTCACATCTTAAAATAAAACTTTTTCCATTTATGTCCAACAGTCCAACTGCCATATTTTCTAGTGAAACCTAGACGATTTTCTCTATGTTGCCTATAAGTGATAATTAGGCAATTATCACTTATAAGCAACTTGAAGCTTATATTATACTATATTATACTTACTTATTATATTATACTTATAGGCATAAGTAATAATCAAGTGATACTTTCCTGGCAACCCTTCCAAACAATTTTCCTTCAATCAACCGCCTACGGACTAGTCTTGCGGATACGTTTCGAATGTCGTTTTGTGAAAATACCTCTTTTCTAATAATATTAGAACCTTTAAAGGGGTCCGTCTTAGCTAAACGAATCATAAGTCTATCTTCTTGAACAGTGGTCTTCCTTGGCCGACCTTGTTTTGGCACATTATCCGATGTTCCATGTTTTTTGAAATGTGCAATGGCGTTAAGTACCATCTTTACAGAATACTCTAAATGATCTTTGATTTTACGGTAGGTCCATTTTCGTTTTAATGTAAATTCACTAAAGTCTTTCTTGTTACTGCATCACAGCTCTTCTTTTTACCCATTTCTAATAATTTGGCTAGATATAAGGTAACCTAACTAAATAACTAAGAAAAGGCGGCAAAATGCAAATATGACAACCTTGTGAAAGTGTATTTTAGTTTTAAAATTCAAGATTCGAAAGTAAATCATACTTTGTTTCTAATTAGTTGTCCAACTGCCAGTGCTAAGGATTTAGTAAGATGGTTTTTGTTTCGTTGTTTTCTTTTTAATTATTGTCTCAATTGTCTAAATATTATTGCTTGTTTTTATACTAGGATAGGAGTGTACATTGCAATGTATTCAATTAATATTTGGCCTACAATTAATTGCAATAATAATGTTAGTTACATGAAAAGACTAACCAAGTGACTAAGTGCTTTTAATTATATGACCACCACGGTATATAAAAATTAGATGAAATAAAAAAAGGTTACGTATTCAGAATCTTTATTGCAATTGTACAATTTAACATTTCACAGACTTACTTTAGACCTTAAAATATATATACGTAAACATTTGTAATATATGTATATGCGTCATTATTATTTTTTAAATATTTACATATCATTCCATATACTTGGCAACAACCTTGAGCATACGACGTATTATTTTTACGTGTACAATCCCTGAGAGTTATATACTTATTTATGTGTCTGTATATTACTTCCCATATTAATATTAATAATATGTAGAGCACTTATACAGTGTGTTCCTGACCGAGTGGCCAGGGCCACGAGTCCTAATTTCAACGAGTACGCCACGTAGCATATAACTTTAGCAAGAAAGAATTTTAAAATCATGATAAACATTGTTGGCTCCTGGTAGAAAACGTGCGCTGTCATGGGAGATTTAGAGAGGAAACTAGTTTTTCTAACATTTAGATATTCAGGCAGTGACACCTATAATATATATCTAACTGGTACGAATAAATTTCATATAAAGAAGAGAGGAAATTAGGCTATTAAAGTACATCACACTTGCTTAATAAGAAGATTACACACTTAAGAATTTTATGTATCTTCTCCAACTGAACGATAGTATCTTTCTACATCATTAAATCGCGGTCTCGAAAAAAATTATTAATAAAGTAACAATAATTATAAACTTTAAATATAATGTATAATAAATATAGATTGTTATAAATTTATATAATTGGTAAGTGTTGCGTGCAATAACAACAATTTAATATATTTCCCACGCAAATCGAGTTTGAATACTTACTATTGCACCTTTATTTCTATTCCATACGCTCTATCTACTATCTGAATCATAACAAAATGTTTTATTCCTAAACTTAATTGACGTAATTATGATACAAACATTGACATGACTAAATATGATTAGTATTTTTGTTTTTTTGGAAAGATTTCAGCGTGTCAACTAGCTTAACGTCAATACGTATTAATTCACAACAATTATCTATTATTGTTACACTATTCGTTACTGATTTACCCTTGAGTTACCTACGAATCATTTCCACTTTTAAGTGAAATTAATAAACTCTGATTTAATTCAAATTACATTAAACACGCACCACATTAGAACATTTGCGACTGTGTTTTTATTTTATTTCACCGATAGGCTTGTTTTAGGGCGCCTACAAATAAGACGCTTATAGAAGTGCTGTAGTGGGGCTACTGTGTCGCGGCACTCATCTGCTAAGTCTGACACTTATAACTCATGGAGCGATTTTTATCCCCGCCGTGGTTGCGGGACTGCGACCTCCGGAGAATGTATATATGTATGTAAAATTTAGCAGCACATTTTCGACGCGTTTTGTCGCCCCTGGCGGGGACGGTTACTCGCGGTAGCCGCAACGTCCGCGGGGTACTTGTAGAACCGCCCGAGACGCGGTCACCCGCGCGATTGGCGATCAACGCCCGCGCACTCTGCGGTCAGTTGGCCCGCGACATTCTCTATTTATATAATATAAGTTTGCGAACTGTTCCGCAACCGCGACGGCTACGTGACCGTAGAAACAGTATTGAAATAAAACGACTGTTCCGCAGCCTTTATTCACTAATTGTTGCGACTGATCTTCCAGATATAGTATAAAAATTAATAGTGGCGCGGTCGCAGCGCCACAGACACGTCACTGCAGCGCTTCTATAAGCGTCTATATTGAAGGCGCTCATAAAAGACAAGCTACACATCGTTTCACTTTTTCACTTGTTATAACGTCAATCACTGATCGCTAACGACATACAAAGTCGTCATCAAAAATCTTTTAAAAACATTTTGGCACGCGAGCTTGGCATACAATCTGTTAAGGAAGATTTTAGTGGTTTATAGTTCAATCCCTCATAGGGAGAAATGGTTTCTAGGACGGTGGTTTCAGAGGCGTATTTCCAACGTGCAGGTTGTTTAGTTGCGGTAGCAGAATAGCAGCTGTAGAGATAGTGGTCACCAGTACGAAGACCGCGAGTAATGCGCGATCTGCGACAACGGCCACCTGAGAAAATTTCAATTTATATTAATTTCAATTTACTGCTTATCGCTGTATACTTATTTCAAAATCGTAGTATTCTGCAGTACTGCGTCATTACATGAAGGCAGTGATGCTAAACAAATACCTCCAAGTCCATGTTTCAAATATACATAGGATTAAATTCTATAATTCATATTTACTCTTGACATAAGAGAATCCTTGCAAGTACAGGTTTATTAAGTAAACAAATTTTTTATTAAATAAACGTTGATACATTTCTAAACATTCACAAATTTAATCGGAAAATATAAATGTTTATGCAAATATTTTAATCTCGTACAGAACATGGCAAGGAGTTTTATATATCTGTTGTAGCTTCGGGCTCGGAGGAAAGAATTCATATTTTTGCTGGCAGCATGACGGTGACATACGACGTAGATACATAATACGCGGGCAAAAGGTATTGCAACTGGAAAGGTCGAAGGGGAAACCCATATGTAAGCTATAAGTAATCTATACAAAAAGGCACAGAATAAATAAGTGGGAATATTCATGCTCAGGTGATATGTTCACTTAGGGCACTATTTTGATGTTTTTGTTTTTGGAAAATTGCATTTTAAGAAATTATTATTGTATTAATTAAATTTTTATTGAATTGATATTCAATTATTTTTTGTGAAATTACTCCACTAGTTTGTTATAATTATTAATACAAAGATCGAACACTCAGAAAAAATTCCTTCGATCCGGTCGGATTCGAACCGACGTCTTCTTGCATACCGTGCCAGACGCTATACCAACTAAGCCACGGAACGAACCAACGGACCTCACGAATTTTTCTATGTGCTTGCGTCGTGTCTTTGCACTTGGTCTTTCAACGGTATGCAAGAAGATGTCGGTTCGAATCCGACCGGATCGAAGGAATTTTTTCTGAGTGTTTTTTCTGAGTGTTCGATCTTTGTAATAATTATAACAATTATTATTGTGTTAAGTGCGTAATCAATAAAAGTAATAAAGATTTTAGGACAATGTTAACAACCTGAAGAAATATACAGGTTTTAAGACTTTCGTGGTTATTCACATAAGTAATGAAAATCACTTTTACAGGTTTCTTAACACGATATAATTCTTTGTATTTTCCCGATATTTCAGTACGATTACATTAGTTTACCATCTTAAAAGAAGGTCGAGAGAGAGTAAACTGATATGTCTGTTCTTAAAACTGTCATCTGCCGCTGGCCAGTCAACCCGTGATCATGGAGCGTGTAACGATTGCGAAATTAAGGAACGTACAAAGAATTCATACCGTGGTGAGAAACCTGTAATTAGTGATAATCGCTTTGAGAAAGTATGTTTTTAAAATACAAATGGAAATAGTCGGTTCATTGACAAAAACTACCGCCTATTACAAACTACTTTCTACCGCCGTTTCGTCTTCGTTTCGTCTCTCGTTTTAGATTAAGTGCGGGCTACCCTTATTCTATTATCTAGATGGATAGACAAAAAAAGGTTAAAAAACCCTTCCTTGACTATTCAAGTTTTTATTTATGTAATTTTGCCATTACTATTAATAGCAAAATTACATAAACTAATTGTTCGTCGTTGCGTTACTACCGCGAAGTTATTTATATGAAGTTACTATTACAAGCTAATATAATAAAGTTAAAATACGTTCTTAAAGATCCAAAGATTTTGTAAATTCTTATAAATATGACAGCATAAAATAAATAAATGAAAAGAAAACCTTTGACGATCCCTTATTGTCTTTGTTCGTAATGTAAAATTTAAATTAAGACGTTGCGCACTTTATCAAAGAATATTAAGTGTCCAAGTCGTGAAAAATTCATAAAAAGTTCTGAGCAATCATTATCAGTCTGAAAAATTAACCAAGATTGATCACATCTGCCGGCTCTTAGACTATGGAAACTATTTTTTTCCATCCTCTAAGTGCCGGCTAACTGCGTAAGGTGAAAGACAGCTAGGTAGGTAGGTATTGATATTTCTGTCTTTCCAGTCTGTCACTGCACCATAAAGACCGAGTATCAACACCACAGGGATGTCTTATGCGGCCATCCTTCTTATCTGACGATAAAATACCGCCTGCAAGGCCTTGATTTGCATTTTCTCATCAATATTCTATTTAATTAAAGATTAATCACCCGATCTGTGTTCAACCTGAAAGTTCTTAAATAATTAAAGACATCGTCGGCGTATGTACATATATTATGGATCATAAACATTGTAATAATGATTATATATATATATTCTGTAGGTACCCAATAGGTGAAGAAGTTTAAGTGCCAAACAGTATTTTTTTTCACAGCGCGTTTTAAAGGGAATGAGAATGTTTGTATGCTTAAAAGTAATTAGGCATTTAAAATCAATTTTCAAGTCAAATAAAATATGTTAAATAAAAACAAACAGCAGTAGGACTTAATGTCTTTTAACATTGCGTGATTTTTAGAGTTCTGAAGCAATGTTTGTAAAACATCTAAATTTCAAACTATGGACCTAAGGTCCTTTACCTCACAACTACAGAGTTGATTGAACAGAAAAATTGACAATAAGCTTTTTATGAAGTATTCTACTGTCATTTAAAGTAGGCGTGAAAGCACTCTGCTAAAAATTTTGCAACCTTTAAAATATTAATACTTAGAAATACTGAAGATTCCAAAAAAATATTTCTATACCTTATGAAAGTTTATAATTGAGAGCTACTAAATTGTCATTTGTTCATGAAAAAGTCATTTTAAACAGTGTTTATGTATGGCGTACAGTGTAATTTGAAAGTGAACGTGTTGAGTTTGCTAGTTGCATATCTCTTTTTATGAAAACAATTAAATCGCAGTGTCTAAAATGTTGTATTTCAAAGTCTATTCCTTTTAAATTTTTTACATGAGTTATGCTTAAATGATAGAGTCAAAAGATAAATGATACGAGTAAGTGTGAAGTAAAAAAATTATTAGGTACTTTCATCCTAGTGTAAGTGTTTGTTTACACCCAATAGAACTTCGGAATCTCTGAACAAGTACACTTCTCATGAAACCTCACTGAAGGATGGCGCCGATTGTTTGTCTGTCCTATGTAAACTTTCCGTCCACGTGACCAGCTCCAGCGAAATGTAGCGCTTTTACAAACTCATGATTTAAAGTGAATTTGAACAAGAGTAAATAGATTTCCCGACGACCCTATAACCAATTTAAAATTTGTTAGCTTACCAAATATATTTAAATACATTACAAAGTGTAACACTTTTAATTAATAATTAGTATTTTCAAGGTGCCTATAATTATACAAGGTTATTTGTAAAATACTAATAACCTCATAGGACTGTATTCTAGCATCTAGCATTATAAACAAGAACTTTACTTCCATGACTTAATAATTCATCACATTTTAGTTTCATACGAAAATTAAAAATATTTAAATAGATCGTTCTAAACTTAATTTGTACTCTAAAACGCAGGAGCGCAGGTGGGGGTCGTCTAGGAGGAGACTTGCACGTTTGAATTCACTACTTACCTCACTACCAGATACAGATCTAAAAAGTGTCAGATAGTACAACAAAATCTTATAAGTTTATTTTTGGTAAATTTATGTTTTGTAAAAAGTCATGGAACAAAAGTTACTGATGGACGATGTTAGTAACATAGTCCTGTGAGGTTGTTAGTATTTTACAAATAACCCTGTAAAATATTATGTAAAAATGTGTCGTGTATGAGAACTTTACAAAACCTTTACTTAGTTGATACAAAAATTTAAAACTGAAACAGTTTTCTCACTGACCTGTTTCCACTCAAGGTTAGCACGCTCGAGGCGTTCATTAGCGGCGACTCGCTGCTCGTGTTTGGCGGCGGCTTCGCGCAACGTACAGCCGCAACAGACACAACGCGGGCAAGCGCCTGCGCAAGTCATTTCGCCACCGTCGGCGCATGTATTGCTGCTGCAACTGCCTCCCGTACTTGACGCTGTTCCACCTGCTTTGAGTTAACTAAATTGATCACAATACCCTGTGCGTAGCCATCACAAGATATGCCAATTGCCCAAGACAAATTGATTCATGATCCTCAGAAGGAAGTAGCTATTGTTTTTATTTCCATTAATTACGTCAACTAACGTAGGGTTTCTCAAGATTACCGGTCAATTAAGATCAACCAACTACGAGCAATAAAAAACTAATACTCAGGCAATGGGAAAAAGGCATCGTTAGGCAAGATTAGAAATAGGATACGCTGATATCGCTGTATCTTTGTTTTATTACACACGCCGCATCTATGCTCACCTGCACAAGTCACTTTTGTGTATTTCATGTTAGTAATGTGTCCGTGGTTTAACCAAATTACGAAGTCTATTATAAAAAAAGAATTAGGACTTAATATGGTAAAAAAATTGAAAAATATTTTCAGCTGGCAGGCTAAAGTACAACGCTCAAAATATCAACGTGCACGTTTGCTTTTATAATTTAAACGAGTCGACGGCGCCCGGCAATACGATGATTTTGCTACGTTTTCGTATTTTTCAAATATATTTTTTGTTATATTGTGTTAACATAATTTAACGTCAAAAATATAATAATGAAGTTGCTCTATATTTATACAAAATATTCCGACAACATACTAGGTCCACAATTGAGGTTTCTTAGGGCGTCTGCATATTAAATGCTTTTAAAAGCGCGACTGTGGCGCGGCAGCCGTGCATCTGTAGCACTTCAGTAATTTTTAGTTCACTAATTGTGACTTCAAAAGTAGCATGGGTGTGTCACATGACACGCATGGCACTGCAACTGCACTTCTAAATATTGTATAAAAATGAATAGTAGCGCGGTAGCAACGCGACAGCGATGCTTTTATAAGCGTCTAATTTGAAGGGCTCGTTAGCCTTAATTAGTATTTAATAATTAAAAGTTATTTTTTCTTCGAGTAAGCTTCCACATTAAAAGACACACTTATTACTTATCATCTTTATAAGGTCATCCGTCACCGATGCTCCACGCTCAGTCCATATGTAAGGTCGTCATTTGTGACGTAAACTAACATGGTCGACGCACTACAGAAACGCGACAGTCATAACAACACCCTGAAAGCCTTATTATACTGGATATGCAGAGCATTATACGTCCTTTGAGAAAATCCTACTCGTAGACTTGATGAGTACCAAGAATAGAAAACACTTTAAAGCGCCGTTACTTATTAACTGCAGCTGTACATAGTTTAAAACTATGGGTCAGCATGGCTGACGTTCTGCGCTCCCTGTCCATGTCTGCATCACCTCTAAAGTCTCCGGTCATTAAATCTATATTAGCTTGATTATTTATTACCATGTCCATATTGCCGTTTCTTATTTATTCAGTTTATTTATTCTCAGTATTATTATTGCGATTGTTCAATCGCTCTACAGTTTAACGAACAAAAATATCTTGTGAACAAAACTCATAAATAAGGTAAGTTCTATTTAATGGGCTCAAGTTGTCCTGTAGCGA